TAAAAGATTTCATGCTACATTTTTGGAGATGATACGAATTTATAAAATAGAAAACTCTAACGAAAATATTATCAATGCTTTGCCATATTCAATTATTTCTTATAATAATACTTAGAATAAAACTACAGGTTATACTCCATTTCAATTAATATTTGGTCATACATCAAGTAGATTCCCTGAACAATATTTCAGTTACTCTGAATTAATATCTAAATATATGCGAGATTTGCAAAATTAAACTTCATACTATTATAAACAAGCACGTTTAAGCTAAGGAACGATAAGAGCGATCTAAAGATAAAGCTAAGGAACGATTCGATAAACATAATTTTGAAGTAAATCAATAAGTGTGTCTAAAAGAATCTCAGATAGGCAATAAATTAAAAAGATAAATATATTGTTCTTTTTATTATCACAAAAATAATTTTACCCAATTGTGCTATTATTTTAAACTACAATTATACAATAAAAGTAAATTTTGATAGATTTAAACCATATACCGAACGTAATGCATAATTATTGTTTCAGATTCTTATTTCTCCTTAATATTTGGATAATTTCTGCACATGTTCAAATTATCCCAATTAATCAAACCGTCGTATTATATTATTATCCCGAAGGTAAAATTAAAATTTCAAATAATAATTGGCAACTAATTGTTTATAAAGACCTTGAAATGATTTAAAATGAATTCAATAATGATAAATTAATTGTTGAAAATTTATTTTTTATGTTTACAACTGAATTCAATCAAATTCTGTATTTTTTTGGTGATACACGTACACACAATTACTAGAATGTATTATCTATTCAATTGAAAATAAAGTTAATGAAATAAAATTAGACACTGAAAATTATAATACTCAAAAAATAAAACGTGGTTTTGTTAACGCGTTAGGTTCTATATGGAAAACTATTTCTGATAATTTAGACGCAACAGACGGAGAATATTATGCAATTAATAATAATAATAATCATAGAATGGTTTTGGATTTCCGAATATTCGAATATTCGAAAATTCGGAAATCCAAAACCAAACCACACTTGAAATCAAGAGGGGTAAAAAGGAGGACTGGATTCTATCGAGAAAAATAATAACATACGAAAAAGTCAAATGGGCAATAAAAACTTTCAAACCATTTAAATCTGCCGGAACTGACGAAATCTTACCAGCCATGTTACAACAGGGACAAGACCTGCTGCTACCAAGACTGTGCAAAATCCTAAGGGCCAGCCTAGCTCTCAATCACATACCGGAAGGATGGAGGGAGGCACTGGTGGTTTTTATACCAAAACCAGCAAAAGCCTCCTATGACAAACCAAAATCCTTTCGACCAATTTGCCTAACATCATTTCTTCTGAAAACAGAGGAAAAATTGATAGAGCAGAAAGCCTCTACACCGAAATCAATTTACCTACCAAACTAAGACTAATCTCAAGAAGATCTTCCTAGCTATGGTAGAAACGCAGTGGAAATATGTAGGCAAAAGCACTGGACGCTCTTTCAGTTTCTGTATACAGGTATGCAGCTACGCGCAGTAACAACAAAACTTGGAGTTCACAAGGATAGTACGGAACACAACAATTTTAAAACCATGTACCAAAATAAAACACAAAGAATTCCAATCAAAAATGCAAATAAATACGTAGCATATAAAAACACTAAAATAAATATATTACCATCAAAAGGTTTGTACACCCTTTACGATCAAATACGAACACAGACAAGTAATTTAACCATACGGTTATAAGAAAATCTTACCTTCAGTGACAGCGAAGGGTTATTCTAAATAAATGTAATTCTTGTAGGCTCGTTGGATTATTGGCAGCAAAGAGTGATTTTCTATCCCGAAAAAAAAATCGGCTAGATTTCTTGATAACCAAAATAACTATTACAGTACCAGAAATCACTTGTAAAACCAATCATCCAATTTCCCCAGAAGGATGGGTAATTTTACCACAAATATTTAAAGATGAAAGTTTTTGTAAATCAAACCCCTAAGCTTAACCAACCACTTGTTGAACCGGAAATCGAGTGAGTGTCACCGCAATTAAAGTGGCTCTTCTTTTTTTTTTTAAGAAAATTTTTAGGCGCATTATTTAAACGGCCAATGATAACACTTAAACGAATACACTGTGAAAATCTGACAAAACCAATGGAGAATTCAATTTATTTAAATTACCGATCTTAAAGTTAAATATAGTACAATAAAATAACACTGTCATTAAATTATTATTAAGAAATAAAGAAATAAATAGCATGACTAATCCCCTTTACTTTATTTAAAATCACGTAGGTACTACTGCAAGTGGGGTTACCAACCGAACAGCTGATCAAACTTGGGCTTGGGCATTATAGGTCGCGACTGAGAGCGATCACTTTAGTTCGGGTCTTTTAAACGAACTAGTTCGCTCTTTTAGTTCGTTAGTTCGCAGATATGAAGCCGCTTTGTTAAAGCGCTCTAGAGCTGTGAACTCTTTTTCACTGAACTAGGGAACAAAAAGAGCGACTCTTGTTATTTTTTTAATGGATTCTGCTCAAGGTAATTGTAAAAAATATTTATTAAAGTAAAAACATGTATGAAAAGACTATTTTAAAAATAATCAGCCTTTAATTTTTATATATTTAAAATACAAAACAATAATGGTCTTTTAACGCCAGTCAGAAAAGAAAACCTAGGTTGTCGCAGAATAACTAATAAATTATTAGTAGGTAATAATACTTTTTTTCTAAAACAAAATTACCCATACTAGGTAAAAAAAAAATAACAAAATGACATTTCTAATTTTGGACCTATCAATTAGGTACCATATGCATATAAAAATTTAAAATAAAATAAATTAAAAATATAACAAATAAAACAAATATTAAACAAAAATATTATAAAAAAAATAGTCTTGAGATTATATGGATACACTTTTACCTTTTACCTTCTTATTAGTAATTTAAGTATCACAAATGTTTACAAATTATCACATATTATTGTGTAAAATATTAATTTTGAAACTTTGTTAGTTGATAATAGTGTTCGGCGTTCATTAAGAATTTGTTCCGTTGCTGAAAAAACGCGTTCGCAAGGCACGGATGTCCCTACTATGCAAAATCTCTTTAACATATATGTATATTAGGGTGTCCCTTATTTTTTATTTTTTCACGCATACCCTCTAATTATATTTATTACGTGTTTATATACTCCCAGTAAAAATTTCAGCTCATTCTATAAACGGGAAACCGTGCCGACTTGCATCTGAACCCTCCGTTAGCCAACGTTAGGCGCGCGGTATTTTGTAACACGGTTGGTCGCGAGGTTCGATCGTAATTCATTTTGTGTTTGTTATTATGTGACCCTTATATTATAAATTATTGACAAATGTTAAAATATAGTTTTATTTATATGTATACTTTGATAAAAATGTATATTTTCACAGGGAGTGGCTAGTTACCCGGAAGGGTCTCGTGAATAGGCCGTAAACTCTGAAATTGATAAACTTAATGGGTTTTACTCTAAATAAAAGAGTCTATTTTGAGAGATGACTACCGAAAACTTATTGAACTATCTGAAATATTTTTGGGAGGACATCAAGAAAAGAAATGCTTATGAAAAGCTGAAATTTCATATAACAGTATATTTTAGCAATACTAATTAGTATATTTATATATTTAAGGGATAAAATCAACTAAATTAGTGAAACAAATAATAGAAACAAAAGAAATAATATTAATTAGTAATCATATTTAATAAAATCATTAGAAAAATACAGTCATTTAAGTATATCTTCTTTTTAAAGTGTTTTTTTTACAATTATGATATAGATTTCTGTGCTGTTGCACGCAACGCAGAAGAAATTGTTTCTGCTCTTCATCGGCGGTTAACAAACCATGAAAGTCCTGCATTAGCTTAGCTCAATAAGTTTTCGGTAGTCATCTCTCACAATATACTCTTTTAGTTATTTAGAGTAAAACCCATTAAGTTTATCAATTTTAGAGTTTACGGCCTATTCACCAGACACTTCCGGGTAACTAGCCACTTCCTGTAAAAATATTCATTTTTATTAAAGTATACACATAAATAAAACTATATTTTAACATTTTTTAATAATTTATAATATAAGGTTCACATAATAACAAACAAAAAATGACTTACGATCAAAATACCGATCGCCTAACGTTGGCTAACGCAGGGTTCAGATGCAAGTTGGCACGGGTTCCCGTTTATAGAATGAGCTAAAATTTTTACTGGGAGTATATAAACAAGTAATAAATATAATTAGAGGGTATGCGTAAAAAAAATAAAAATAAGGGACACCCTAATGTATATACATGAGGATATAACTGACGCCGCTCGTGCCACCACTGCAGCGGATCACTTTTTCGATCTAAATACTTTTCGTTGAGGTATTTGTCAAGTTCGCGAATGCCAGCTGCAACTTGGTTGTCTGGTCTAATAATTTTATTAATTTCTTGGTCATACTCATCCCATATACTATCCTTTTTATCTTCATTTTTGCCGGTGCTAGTAGAACTAGGTAAGGATGTGACGCTGTAACTTCTCTATTTTCCCTATGTACTCCGCCGATTTTGTTTCTAAGACTTTGGATTGTAACTTCACAGGCTCTTTGGTTTCTAAATCCTTTTTGTTTAAATCGGGGGTCCAGAATTGTACATTCAGCATATAAAATATTATTCTCTATGTCTTTAAAACGGTCTTCCATGCCTTTCTTTAACACTGATTGTACAGCGACTATTTTTGCATTGGTGGAATGATGCTTTTGAAGAAAACTTTTGACTAAGTTGGAAAATAGAATTACTTTTGACAAAGTAACATTTTTCTCTGCGCTTATTTCGACCGTTACTTCGTAAAATGGTCTAAGTAAAGGCAAAACTCCTTCTATTATATCCCAGTCTTCTTTAATAGAAAGGTCAGAGCGAAGAATAGCAATTGTAGCAATTACTGCATCCTTTACCTGCATTATTCACTGTCTGGACATCCTGCTTTAGCTTAACCACCGGTAAATTCATTTGCTGTTGCGTTGTTATTAATTTTGTTTTGACCTTGAGTGCTTCTATTAAAATACTCCACGATATTTTTTACTTTTGTTAAAACGTCAGCTATTTCTTTTGTGGCTTGTTGCACAACAAGATTTAATGAGTGATCAAAACACCCAATTATTCTCCACCCACCAAGTCTGACTGCAGATACAATATTAGCAGCATTGTCGCTAATGATAGCAGCAATTTTATGTGAAATATTCCAGTCCGACATTACCTCTTTTAAAAAATTGCATAAATTTAGGCTGGTGTGCCGATCGTTAAAATTTACACAGCCAAGTAATGCTGATTGGAGTTTGGTATCGTTGTCTACAAAGTGGGCTACAATGGCTATATAGCTGGAGGTCCAACCATAAGTGCTGAGTGACAATGCAGATGCAGCTTCAACTTTTTTCTGTATTTTAGTCATTACATTGTTATATACATTAGGTATTAAGTTTTCGGACAAAGTTTTTCTCGAAGGAAGCTGGTATCCTGGGCATTGAGATACCAGTTGAATTAATAGCCTCATTTCCTTTTCATCCACAATTCTTAGAGCGTGATGCCCTTTGGCAACCATTTTAACTACTTGTTTATCAATTTGTTCAGCCTTTCTTATTAAAGGAGGTCTACGAATGTATTGGTTAATTAATGTTTGGGAATTTGCTGCATTTGAGTCTAATGTGATTTCATTTGATTCAAGTAAGTTTTCAAGTGGTGGTTGTCTTTCAATTGTTAATGGGGTAAAAGGATGTTTTGTTTTCATATGTCGGGTTAAGTTTCCATTTGAGCCTCCAGCAATACTTATTGATGTTGAACAGTATTTACATTTTGCTCTTTTTTATCTTTTTCTTTAGTAAAATGTGTCCAAAGGGAAGTATGTTTTCGCTTTATTGACATTTTAATATTTATGTATAAACTAAAACAAATCACATAACATTAAATAAAATATAGAATATCTACCTAAGTAAATTTTACTTAAGAAAAGTATATAGGTATAAAAGTTTTGTAAACAAAGATTTTTTTTAAATAACCTACAAATTTTGTAGTAAATAAACAAAGTTTTTAAATTACAAAAACCTGCAAATTTAAGAATGTAATACGTTAATTAGAAATATAGATGTCACCATCAAAAAGTTAAAATTCCAATCTTGAAAAAGGAACGAAAGAACTAAAACCGGTCAGAGCAGGGACCTAGTTCGCGTAGTTCATCTAAAAGAGCGCTCTTCCGAACTATTTCGTTCGCGAACTACACAACTCTAGATCAAAGTCACTATCTTTTGACAGTAAAAGTAAACATTCACTTAAATATGCAAAAATATCTAAGTTCCACTGAAAATATGGTATGTAGAGGTACGAATTATGCAAGATTTTCTTAAAACACAGACCTATTAAAGAAACGTATACCAAATAAAGACAATTTAATACAAAATAATCCTAAAAATTTAAGGTAGGCGAAATTTGCACGTTACAGTTTTTATTAAAAAAAGTGAGTAGATATTTGTTTAAAAATTTTAAATCATTTGTTGTATATTTTAATATGTATTGAAATTAAAACATATACATATATTTTTAACAATATTTTTATTATTTTAGTAAAATAAAACAACCGTTTCTGGATAAAAATGGCTGATCGCACGAACACTGAATTTGAGAAAAATGCAAAAATTGTAGAATATGAGAAAAAAAATTATTAAACGAAACGAGACTACCTATTACATTATCAAACAGTCGCTTCTACATTATTGAAATAAACGCTTATAATGATTTTTCAATTACAGTAAACAAAGCAAAAAATATGATGCACTTACTTTTAGCTGTACAGCATTTAATGTTAAGTTAAGTTATTCGCAATATACCAGATATTTAGGATAGCAATAACAAGCGAGATGAATATGATATATTAACCCATTTCATCACAATTCCAGCAGACAACAGGACCTTGGTGAAAATTATGGAAAAGCTATTCAAAATAAGATCATTCCATGAATATATAACTGAAGAATATGAAAAACTACGCCTGTCGGAGACGTTGAAAAATTTTACGGGATGACCAGCATGATTATGATAATAATATGTTTTATAGAAACTCACCCAAGCATGGGCGCCGCTACATAGGGGCAGGGGGGGCCGAGCCCCCCCTGGAAATGCATACCCAGAAATTCCGGTACTCCATAATTTGACGGTAAGTGCTGATCGTTATCATTTGTTCATTATTTTTTAAATACATTAGATTTGTTATCTTAGATAATTTAACTTTGTGCCGTCTTAATGAACACTAGTGTTGTTACAGTTGTAAAATGAATGAAATGGCTGGCTGTTCAAAGAAATCAGAAGCACAGTTTACTGATTCCGTTCATAATCCTATGGCGAAGAAACCAGAAGCCACAGATCATTATGTTCATATTCCAAAGATCTTCGATGGAATCTTATATACGTGCAATAAGGTTCATATCAATTTTGATATTATTTATATATTTACCAAAAAACTGTGATGTATTTTTTGCAATATGTACCAATATAAATAAATAGGTAAATATACATATAAAGATGATATTTTATTTGACTTGAGTTTAATGTGAACTTCTACAGTACAACTACATCTACCAAAATTGTAAAAAACTTTAAGCCCCCCCCCTAGACGAATTTTTTCCGGCGCCCATGCACCCAAGATATAATAATTACATAATTTGGTTAGAATTACTGAATAAATTTGATTATTTTGTATATAGTAATATAGGACGTAAATTGAATATTACTTTAAATGCAAATAGATATTATGTTTAATTATACTTAAATAAAAAAGTATTTAGGCTTCAGAACTTGTTTAATTATACCCTATAATATGCTTACTAATCTCAGTATTTTTTTATTTTTTATTAATCTTCTTCTATGGTAGGTAGAAAAAATTATGCAAGATAAAAGGGATATAATAATTACATGATTTTCTTAGAATAACTGAATACATTTGATTATTTTGTATACAGTAATATAGTTCGTAAATTGAATGTTACTTTAAATGCAGATAGATTTTATGTTTAATTATACCTAAATAAAAAAGTATTTAAGCTTCAGAACTTGTTTAATTATAATATACTTACTAATCTCGGTATTTTTTTTATTTTTTATTTAGCTTCTTCTATGGTAGGTAGGTAGAATTATATTTAAGAAAAAAATTAATAAAATAATCTAAATATAGAAAAAAATAAAAAAAGACAAATACATATATAATTTAACCTAAAATTATAAATTAAACCTAAAATATTAATTAGAAATTATACAAAAATTAATTATATTAATTATATATATTTAAGAAAAAAATTAATTAAATAATTTAAATATACAAAAAAAACGGTTCATATATTCGCATTGTCAGTATCATCGCTGTCGTCCTGTGTATCGCTATCGCTAGCGTCTGTAATTTCCCCGTACTCTATGCTAGGAAAATGGCATATACCAGATCGTACAACGTCGAATAGGACCCGACGATTGCAGAAATTACACCAATTTTCGGGCCATAAATATAGGTTCAAAATCTCCTCGAACTCCAAGTAGTGCCTATGTTCTGTGTTGTAGTTGTATAAGTTAAAATTTTTAAGAGCACATATGCCCATATGTAGTAGAATAAAATTTATTGATGGTACAGTAATATTCCCTATATGGGATAAACAGTTCTATTATGGGGCGAATAGCATGTATGCTAAACCTACGGCCCCATAACTGGTCCACCGTTTTTTTAGTCCATTTAGCGTCAATCTGCATATTCCTTAGATCTCGTCTGCGTACTACTGAATTGTCAATTTCATGACCCGTTATGAAATCGACAATTCTGTTCTAGATCACTTCACCGTTGAGAATCGCCGGTAGTTTTCCGCTTACTATTTCGGCCACAGTTAAATTCGAATTTACAATCTGTCTGCAGAGAACTTTAAGAGATTTTGGCGCATATGCACTAGGCTGGGCCGAAAGAGGCAAAAAAAATTATTTTTTGAAATCTTACTTGGCATAGTAAAAAAAAGTTGTAAGGGGGGTAAACAGTTTAGTTGATTTTTTTTCAAAATTTAAAAAAATGTTTTAGCCTCGCCCCCGGGGGGCTAAAAATTTAAATTTTGGATTTGGCATAGCAAAAAACTGATAGGTATCGGCTCACTTGCGACACAAAAAAAATCTGGTTAATATATTTTAATTTTTAGCCGCGCCCCTTGGCATTTTAAGTTCCAATATGCAGCTCTTTGCTTGAAAAAATGATGATATATCATATATGATTAAATCGCGCACCAAAATTATTTTATTTTATATCAATCATCATTTAGTCAACCCACAACTCGCCACGGGGAGGTGGCTGCATGTCGAGTTGCACCCTCCCTTCCATCCCTTAGTATAATAATATACTTGTTTTTACTTTTCAACATTGTAGTATTGTTTTTTATTATCGAACATGGGTAAATTTTTTCTTGCCTCTATTTTAACCCTTATAAACCGTCTCTTGAAGAGTGACCACAAACTTTACTGGATGCTTCGGTTATAATCTTTACGCATCGCTCCACAGCTTGAGTGTGACTTGGTAATTTGCTAAAATTAATAAAAGATTTATTTTCAATTGCTGCTAACAAATCTTCGCTTTTGATATCAATTGTTAGTGGGGGCTCTGTAATACAACATTCACTCCAATCTATCATTTCGGTATCGTCTTTGGCATTCCAATTTAAAGGTGGTATTTTAAATATTCGTAATTTTTTTGCTGCTGGTTGTTTTCTAGTCTTTAATATGCGTCGTATACCAAGTTCCCTAATATGACTTCTCTCGTCAGCAATCATAGCTATCAGAATATTCTCGGGATGGGCGAAATACGCGTTAGTTGAAATTACCTTATCAATAATTGTTTTGACTTCTTTAGGAAGGCCCCTTGACTCACTAATGGTTTTCCATAAATGCATCGAACCATATTTAATTGAAGATTGCGTTTTTATATTGAACCACATAGGTGCGTACACTTTCATAATAAACTGCACTAAAAGAAGTAAGTTCTCAGAAGGACTGCAAGTGGCCACATACAAGCGCAGTATTCGATTAGCTGTAGTCAACCATCGCGCATGGCTCATTTTTCCAGGATCTCTTTTAGATAAAGCTTCAGAACAGCAACCATCTCGAATAGCACAACAGATCTGATATAAATATCGCTGATCAGTACTTAAATCCTTGTCATCAACTTCAGGTAATAGAGTATAAATAGACTGAAACTTTTGTACAGGTTTGGTATCGCATGATGCGAGCAATCAACCAATGGGCCCAGAAAACAAATTTGGTCCTTTTGTTTGTCCATCTAAGCGTTGAATAAGGTGACGTAGGGGTAATTCGTTATAACGGTATACCATGTAGCATACAAATTAGCCATTGAAGTGGTTTTCCAATTTGAACTTCGATTAATCTTATTACACCGCCTTTCCAGCCAGTATTTACGTTAGTGCCATCACAGCCAATTGCTTTGAGCTTCTTTGAGTTGACGGAATTTTCTTTTATAAAAGATAGGATATTGTTGGCAATTTTTACAGCATTAGCAGGTGGATTTATTGATAAGTGACCAAAATATTTGTTTCCTGGCTCCTCTATTAAGGCTATATGTTCCTCTTGTTTAACAATACGGCGACCATCAATTTGCATTAATGTTTGATCTTTTCTGCCATCAAAATATATAGCTTCAATATCTTTTCTTTCCTCAGTAGCTTTTTTTTGTACGTGCTTTCGTTTTCTTTTTAATTCTCGACG